TGTGTAATATGGTAAAAAAAAAAATAAGTGAATCTATGAATTTGGAATTGATTGGACTAGTATTGGTCATATTTTTTAATGAAAAATGGATGTTTTGAGCATATGTCAAGTGTCAACATGGTTACAGCCCTGTTTTTGAAAATCATAGAAATTCGTATAAAATTCTTAAAATTATGTATAAATAAGCCCAGGAAAGGTAAGAGAAAGGACTACAACTTATCTTTATAGGTAAAATGGTGATTTTGAGTTTTAAATGGTCAAAACAGGTTTGCAAGTTGAGTGTTTAGAATGAAATTCAAAGTAGAGTGCCTTAATTGAAATGGGATTTGTATGAGTTCTTGATGTGCATCACTAATCAGACTCTGAATATGACTTCCTGGGATTGTTTAAGATTGTATGGAAGTCTTTGGAGGTGGTTTTCAACCTTTGAGTTGGAATTGGGATTCAACCACTCGATTTGGCATTCGGTTTAATACAATCGAATTGTAATGTGAGCTTACTTGGATATGTGTCTATTATGTGCTATATGTGTGTATGTGCTATCCTTATGGTCTTGATAATTGTTATACCATGATCATTCCTTGTAATGGTTTGTTTGTTGCTTCGTTCTTGTGTTGAGCGCCGGTTGTCGGCCACCTTTGGATCTGGGTTGTCCCTACTCATATGTCTGGGATGGAGGATGGTGTTATTGCAGAAAGATGAGTAGAAGGTTTGTACACCATCTGGGAGTGGAGGAACACAGATTGGTCAATAAACCTAATGTTTGTTGGTTGTTTTGTACATAAATTGTTGGTTAATGTACTAGTTATGCATAGCATGATTATGAGCATCTAGTATGTTTGTGGAATAAGTTCATGTGATTGAGTCTCGTTGAAAGTTGATTGCCTTTGTTGTTTCCTTGAGAACCTATGTTTTAATAGCACATGCCTTTGATGATAATTGACCCTTGTACTCCTTGAATTTCCTTGTATGTGAACTTATGTGAGATATGATGCACATGATATCCATTTAAACTCACTAAGCTTTGATAGCCTATCCTTCTAGTGGTAAACATTTCAGGAAAAGAAGATGGGAGTAAAGAAAAAGTTGTTTGACAGTTGATTGTTAGTGTCGGAAGCAAGGATCATCATCTTTTGGTACATGGTAGTTTATACTTTTGGGTAGTACTTGTATAGTTGTCACTTTTCCGGGTTGATGTTTTTCTGATGAACACTCTTCGGTATTTTAAATGTAAATGTTGGTACAAAACTCATCTTTTGATGGTATATACATGTATCTCGTATTTTGTTGAGATTTGCCTTGTAATTGAACTTAAGAATTATGCCATAATTGTGCTTCAGTAACATGTGTGTTACAAGTTACAAGGATTGGATATTCATACTTTAGACGGTAATCGATGAAGTAAGCACGTAGCTCCTATCCCCTTGTTAATGCTCCTTTCTTATTCTAAGATTGGCCCTGAATAAGTTTACACATGATTGTGACTTATTGGTACAAGATCTATGGATGTTACAATCCTCAAAGCACAAAGTACAAGCAAAAAATAATGATACTAAATCCTATATACCTGATAGCTTTGAACCAACTTGATTTTGATCATTTTTATCATACTTAAAGATGCATTCAGGTGTTAACTTCTAAACAAAAGTTGTAGGCCTATGACTTAGGATTCCAATCGATTTGGATTCATTCCATATGTATCAAAAACCTATTTTATATGAATTTTCTAATAACAGTGTGCAAATCCCATTTTTGCACAGGACCAGATACAGAAACTCACTATTTTGAGCATTATGGAGGTAAAATAAGGTCTGAAGTCAAAGACCTTCCAGCCTAATGGTAAAGGCTTGGGCATGGCATAGTCATGAACCCGAGTTCGAGCCCTGGGAGGGGAGTGTTGGCGACATTTAAGTGGGGCTATGTTTAGCCTCCAAATTTGCCGGGGATTAGTCGGGCTTTGGCCCGGACACCCTTACAAAAAAAAATAAGGTTTGAACATTACAAAGTTGTAGTAGACACAGATACCTTTCCAACAATATATGGTACACCTCAATCGGATCAACGAGTGATTTTCTATTAATTATTAAACAACCAGCAGTACTATGATTCCTATACACAGTTCAAGACAGTCCCTTTTATATAAATTTGACACTGAAACCATCAAGAATCAGTTATCTACCTTCATCATATTGCAAATAAATGATTAAAACTTAAATTTTAACTTCTTTAACCAACAATGACATCGAAATAACATCATTTAACAAAATTTTAGCTTACTAATCAAAACCTTATGAACCCTAACATGAACCTTCTCAACTTTAACACAATCAACAATTTAGACCACAAACCTTGAAATTTATAGATTCATATTCTTTATATTCTCTTCAATCGATTAGCTTCAAATCTTCAAAATATCACCAAATTACTAGATGCATGAGAAGGTTATAACCAAATCTAGGGTTTATGTGAAGAGAGAATTTTAGGTCTAGAGAGAAGTGCAAGATGCAAATGAGGGCTATTTGGCTGAAATTGAGAGGTTTAAATAGTTAGTATAATAATTCTCACTTAACAAGTATTATCCCTCATCAATTACCTAATCCAATATTAATCCCTACATGGATTTTTCTTAACATTTCTAGTCCTAAGACCAATTTATTTTCTACATAATTGACCATTTACATAAAACTTGGACTTACATTATTAGTCCAAAATACAACTACTTTAAGCAAAGGTACAAGTAGATAAAGCATCCAATTATCATGTAAATGAATATACCAAGATTAATCGATAACAAAATCTAGGCTGTTATAATATGAATGGTTGTGATGGAAAAAAATTATAACACCCTTCCTGTGTCTTGGTACAGAGGCAGAACATGGGGTATGACAACGATATAATAGCATATACTAATAAAATAATATAAAAATTACTATTGTTGTAATAAGTTCAAATTATAGCAATAACTTCAAAAAACGTATGTATAACAATCATTGCTTTCAAAACTTAGTTTTAGGTTTGCGAGTAAGAAATTTTTAGAGATGGGAAGGACCCGATATCGATTAAGGCTCAAATTCAGACCAGAACTAGTTACATTTTAAAAGGCTAAAGGATCTATTACCTCTTGTTCCCTATTAGTAGCAACAAGGTTAACCGCGTTATGACCTTATTATTTGAATAAGCATCATATGACTCCCTCACTAATAATCAGATAAAACTTTAAATAAAAAATAGACTAAAGTAGATTGGACGTTAATTGGTTACACATTTTGAGCTAAGGCTATGTTTGGCAAATTAGCTGATAAGTTTGCTGGTAGCTGATAAGTTAGCTGATGAACAAATCATGTTTCACAAAAACTAGCTTATAAACATATAAAATGACAAAAAAAGGACATCTTGAAAAATTAATCAATTACAATATTTCATAATATAATCAAAATAAATCTCTAAAAATATGATATGTTAATTAATACCAAAAAGTTGATTAAAAAAATAAATAATATAGTATGCTGACTAAAAAAAAGTTCAAACTGATTATTATATATATTTATAAATTTTGGATTTGTTAAAGAAATTTTTTTTTAAAAATCTATTAATTTATGATTCTAAATAACCATTAGATATACTAATATAGTATGAACAAACATACAAGTGTCAACCTCACATATTCTAGTTAATTCATAATTTTTCAAA